GGAGAGTGATTTGTGGTATCACACGAGGCTCCTGACTAGGGCGCTACCCTAGTATCGTTCGTGGAGTGGCCTGACCAGCGTGGCTGATCCAGAACCTGCCAGCAGACCTGCTGGACTTGTGGTTGACGGCCCCCACGGCGGTGCCCCCAGTGGACCTGTGTTTTGGCTGACCTGTGGCCAGGGTAGACTCAGCTTGGTCGAAGGATTCGTCAAGAGACCACGAGGATCAAGAGCACCGAGGACTCGGCACCGAGAGTCTGGATCCAGAGTCTTCAGCAGAAGACGATTGTGTATTTCCCCTGTACAGTGTTAATACCCCTCCCCCTGTGCACTCTTTTATATATATTATTTATTTGGTGATGGTAACAATTATAGTCTTAAGTTCTTAACTTTCTTTCCCTTCCCTTTTTAAGTTTCTTGCGTCACGGATCACATCCCTTGAAAGCCACTACTGGCTTGGGGTCGGATACAATTTCCTCTAACAACATCAGAGTAAGAACCCCGTTGCGTCCCGAGAGGGCCGTAACAGATGGCCCGGAAAGTGGAGTCAGATCCTATTGGACGATCAATTTGACTTCGAGACGCAAAAGAAGGTTACCACTAAAGACACCTTGCATGCGGAACTTATTGCAAGAGGAGGAAAGATTCGAGGTAATTACAGAAGCACCATACTGTTCCGCAAGCTCAAAGAGGCAGCTAAGAACCTTCGAGAGAATAAGTAGATAGTCGTCAGGAGAAGTGACAAGTCACCAGTAGTGTGGAGTAAGCGCCACAGACGATTTTTTTTTCAGGTCAAAAAATCGTGTGTAGCGCTTGGGGGTTTTCAGGTAAATTTAGAAATATCGTGTGTAGCGCTTTAGGGTTTCTCGGTGAATTTGAGCAGTCACAGATTTGGAATTAAGGATTTCTTATGAGTGAGTAATTTCTGAGATTATAGAATTTTGTTAAAAGTTCTTATGATGAAAATAAGTTCATACGAGTTTGTTAAAGTTCTTATGGGAGAAAATCAAATATCGTGTGTAGCGCTTTAGGGTTTCTTAGTGAATTTGAGCAGTCACAGATTTGGGATTAAGGATTTCTTATGAGGAAAATAATTTCTGAGATTTTAGAGGGTTGTATATCTGAATCATTTCACTGTCTTCCCCCGCATCTCCTGCTCATACCTCACACCCCCTCCCTCTCCCCCCCCCCCTTACCTCACAATCTGTGGCCCACCTGTGTTTACTTTAGACCGGCAGCCAGACGCCGCATGCAGGTTACCTCTTATCTTATCTTATCTTCTCCATAATATCTGGACCGTCCCTCCACCTTCTCTCTCTCTCTCTCTCCTCTTCATATTATTCTCTCTTCCTATTTTTCTGACATCGTAATGTTTTATTCCTTTTTTCATTAACCAGTCAGTTTTACACAAATCAACCGAGGCATCTCAATGTAACCTTTATTACTGAAACTGCCTCCGAGACTATCTAAGCTGGCACCAGCTACCTGCCCCCGGCTATCTGCCCGAGGAAATCATCACCCGATTACCTGCCCTGTCATCTACCAGTCATTGTCAGCGTTCACCACCGTAATAATTTATATATATACATTAGGCGGTAATAAACATTTTTTTATTTTTTTATTTAGTCATCTAATTTTTAGTTTACTCAGTGTATAATAAACTACTCATTTTATCCTGAAGTTCTAAAAAGCTCACTCCTCAATCCGCATATATAATATCCGTCCTATTCACTCCTCATCTGTAAGAATAACCGTTTTAGATAGCGTTTACACATGTAGCCGCTACCTCCATCCCTAGCTCACAAAGCGTGGGGTCATCTCCGTAATCTTACATTATCTTAGCGTCACCTCAACACCTGTTCCTACCTCGCACCCGCCCCGCATCTCACTCCCGCGTCACCTACACCGACCCCCACCGAACGCCGCTGCTATCTTATCGTCACAATCTTATCTAGACCAGTCTCTCTACCTGACACCTTACTCTCCCTATTCATTATCATTAATATTGTTCTTTCACAAATCCGTACAGCTATATGAACTTCGTAATGCTAGTTCCATACATTAAACAGAACAGTTTTCTCAAATCAATCGATTCAATTACCAAACTTTAGCTCATGTCCCCCCCGCATTACTTCCCTCGCACATCGTGTTTACTAACCCATTATTTCAATAAATTTTTAACCCACCATACTTCTAACTGTCAGACCCAGTAAATAAGATCAAGTCAGTTACTGAGCTCCAGCTCTCATCCCCCACCTTACTTCCCTTTCGTTTATTTGTAAATAACCCATCAATTTCCCTAAAATTTATACCTCTGTATGCCAGTCACAGTAATTAAGATCAAGTCAGTTACCGAACTCTAGCTCTTGTCCTCTTGTCCTCTGTCCAAGTTCACTCCTGTAAATTCACTACTATCTGAAAAAATCCTCTGGAAATTTCTGGAGATTTAAACACTCAACTACATTTTCAGACATTGTAAATAAAAACCGGTTCAGTTATCAAGTTTCAACTCTTGTCCCCCCAGCTTAGTTCATTTTGTACAAGTTCTTTATTTTCCAACTAAATCACCCTGAGATTTAAGATCACCTTATTTCTAAAGTAGTAAAATTAATCTGGACATTAGCCAAGCTCCATTTCCTCAGTCTTAGATCATCGAACATAATTATATCCGATCAAGTCCCTCTCCAGCCTATCTGTTTATCAGAGTAATCACCTTACCATTCTCATCCCCAACGTATCCAAACCTTCAATAATCATACTGTATTTGCATATTTTCTCTATATTCAGCTGTGTTCTCATTTTTTATGTTTTCTACCATTTTCCCCGTATGTTCTCTATGTTCTTTGTCATGTTTTCATGTACATATGTTCTCTGTATAACTTTTATACTCAGTATTCATGTTCTCAGCTTATTCTTCACATGTTCAGTGTTCATTCTTTGTATTCCCTATGTTCCTTATCATGTCTTCATATTCTCTGTAAGTTCATATTCCCTACATGTTCACTCAATTCATCAACTTTTTTCTTACATGTTTTCTGTGTTCGCCCTATGTTCACTGTGTTCATTCCCTTACTTAACCTCAATTTTTTATGTTCTTTGTTTCTTTAAACCATTTTGTTTCTTCCATTCACTAACTAGTTCTTTGTCAAATAATATTATTATACTGCAATACAGTTCCCTCAACAATTTTAGTAACCCAGTTTTTATTTGCAAAACTATGTCAAAGTAATTCTCGTAGTCAACTTAATAGTTCTACCAACCCTGTTCTTAAACAAATCTACACTTTATTCTGTTTTTCAAATTTACAAAGACAAACCTTTCTTGTAACTTAACTAAAAATCTTTCTCCAATCAACTAAAACATAGTCACTCATCATTTCTCAACTAAACTTATTATCCAATCAACCAAAAATAGTCAGGACTATTCTCATTCAACACCGTTCTTAACTAAACTTATTCCCTAGTCATCATAAAATAACCATGTTCTTCATATTTCATTTTCATTTCATAACTAAAATTATCCATCAATCAACAGAAATAGTCTTGTTCATCATTTCGTAACAACCATTATGTTTTCGTCAAAGTAAGAAAAAATAACTAAAGATATCTTTCATCGCTGTTCTTAACTGACATTTATACTTTGGGGAGCACAAAAATTGTCTCCCTCATCGTATTTTGTCTTTTTGCTTAACTAAAAGTATTCATCAGTCAACTAAAAAATAGTTACTTCATCATGTTTCCCTGTCATTTTCTTAACTGAAATATCACTTCTCTTATCTAAAATAGTCATGTGTAGCCTCTTTCCAACATTGTTCTTAACTAAAGTAACCTTTCACTTCGCTAAAATAGTCATATTCATCATTGTTCCTAACTAAAATTACATGTCGTTAAGTAAGATATATAGTCAAAGACGCTCTTCGAGACATCAAGGACTTACTCAAAGACATCAAAGTTGCACTCAAAACATCCTTTGAGCCATCAATGTTCTTTAAGACATAAAAAGTTATTCTCTATGTCATCAAAAAGTTATTCTCTGAGCTATCAAAATACTACTCATGTTCTCAAAGACTTTCTCAAAGTCAACAAAGTTATTCCAAGAGACGTCAAAGTTAATCTAAGACATCATCTTTCATCAAAGATATTCTCTCTAAGCCATCAATGTTCTTCTCTAAGACATAAAAAAGTTATTCTCAGAGTCGCCTTTGTTATTCAAAGAAGCCTTCTGAGACATCCTCGTTCAACGAAACTATCCTCAGAGCCATCAAAAAGTTAAATACAGTCATCAAAGTTACTCTTCAATACATCAAAGATGCATTCAATTACTACTCATGTTTTCAGAAGTCATTCTCAAAGTCATCAAAGTTGTTCTGTAAGATATCTTCGAGACATCAAACTTGTTCTCAAAGTCATCAAAGTTGTTCTTTAAGATATCTTCGAGACGTCGAACTTGTTCTCAAACTCAAAGATAATCTTAGAGTCGTCAAAGGTATTCTCAGAGAAACTTTCCAAAACATCTTTGTTCAACAAACCTGTTCTCAAAGTCAACAAAGTTATTCCAAGAGATATCAAAGTTATTCTAAGACATCATCTTTCATCAAAGTTATTTTTAGAGGCATCTAAAGTTATTATGTAAGACATAAAAGTTATTCTCAGAGTCATCAAAGTGATCTCTAATTCGCCTTCGTTCTCCAAAAAGTTGTTCTCTAAGACACCTTCGTTCATCAAAGAAACTCCTCCTTCCATCATGTTATTCTTTAAGACATCTTTAGTCATAAAAGTTATTTTTCAGAGACAAAGTTATTCTCAGAGACATAAAACTTCTCTCAAATATAGCTAGTTCCACTTTTCATATCAAAAACTTTCATTTCCGTTTAAATATATTTTCCTTTGCCTTAGATCATAAATATTACAGATCAAGACCCTCTCCGGGTAAATACATATTAAGTAGTTTACTCTACCAAGGAAACATTATGGAAGTAATAATTGAAAGAGTAGTTAGTTTACTAAACTTATTATGCTTAAATTTAAAAAAAAAACATTACGTAATAACTAAACATACATTTCAAAGAAAAACAATATTTAATAACTAAATAGCTATCATTAATCATAAAATAGCAAATAAGGAAAGAAAAGAACATATTTCTATTTATATACGTGGCTTCTTAAAATCAAGCTTTCGCTTGCAGCTGAATTTGTTTTTTCGCTTATATACTGGTGTTTCATTAGGATGATTCTGAAAATCAGGGTCATCGCTCCATCGCTGACCGCATTGAGAAAACTCTACCGATGCTTCTAAAGGATTGCTACTAGGAGTTTTAAAACATTTATGAATCTCTTCATCACTATCTGAATTAATATACTCCTCAACTCGTGAAGTATTACAGATTTCTTTTATCGGTTTAGTCCCTACCGCTCGTATATAATCAGGGGAGCTCCAGCCGCTACACCCTGGCTGGGGGGGACGACGTTTTATTTGCCCTTATTTCAGTGTCTTTAAATACGAGGGGGGCTTTTCCCTTGGCGAATATTACAGTTTTATCAACTTCGTCATCACTACTATAAGATTTTTCAACACTAACGGGATCATGGCAAGGTTCCGCTTTCCCATCTCCGTGTTCCTGAACAGAATTAGCGGCGCCTACATCTTCAACAACATTATCAACTTCAGGGGAAGTAGGGGAGATCGGGTTATCTGATGGCTCCGCTTTCGTTCCCCTTCTAGCAAAAATAGTCTTCAACAGGTCCATCATCTCATAGCTTTTCTTTAAAACAGTAATTATAAAAACATCCCCCTTCACAATAATCCTTCCTTCATCTCCTGTAAAGGAACAAAACAAAAAAAAACTGAGTAAAGTATAAAACATACTATTTACTTACTCCCTATAAAAAAAATAAAATACCATGTACGTATCTAAACGCACAAGCAAGACTATAATTATCCTATACACCTAAGTAAATTTAACTTAATCCCTAAAGAACTCGTGAAAATGTAATTACAATCCTAGTCACTGTTTTAATAAAGGCAACACTCTTCCCTCTCCCAACCACGTATTACATTAACAAAAAGTACTCACCGTTAGTTCCAGACATTTTCTTACTATGTCAGAGGTTCCAAGTAGGAGCTGATCACGTCAGTTCAAAGACCAGGACACAAGTGAAAATGCAGACGCTCCCGTTCCTACACGATAATTTTTGCTCCTCCCATAACTCTCACAATAATTATCACTTCACGGGTTATACACACTTTTCCCCCGCATCAACTTTTAACAAAATTCTATAATCTCAGAAATTACTCACTCATAAGAAATCCTTAATTCCAAATCTGTGACTGCTCAAATTCACCAAGAAACCCTAAAGCGCTACACACGATATTTCTAAATTTACCTGAAAACCCCCGAGCGCTACACACGATTTTTTGACCTGAAAAAAAAATCGTCTGTGGCGCTTACTCCACACTACTGTCACCAATATATCCTATTCTTAAAAAAGACATATCTGGCAAAAATGAACCTCATACTCTCCGACCAAAATAAATTCCAAAGGGTAACGATGGACACTACAGCCGAATTGAAAACGAAGGTAAACAGATTAATCGAAACTGAATGCCAAGAAATCCGTACTCCACCTGCCAAAGGTTATTGGTGAATGCAAACCTGGTTATTGTGACGGTGTCCCACCCCTATATTTCTCCAAACCCAGCCTAAAGAGTCCTATCTCCATAACCTGAGCGTTCTCTGATACCCAGGGGAACATTTTCATACGTGTGAGAGTGTGGAGCATTATCAGGCTGGCTGTAGAATTGCCATTTAAGTATGATTATGCAAGGGGCTTATGCCCTTTTGGGGCACAAGATTGCCCCGAGCCATTGTTTCCCTCCAAAATGTCGTGACGTCTCCCGGCACCTGATTGGCCAGGTGAGGTCACGTGCCGGAAGTAACCAATGACGAGAGCCCTCGGGCGGTGTGACTTCACGGGGCGGAGGACCCCCAGGGGTGGCTGACGCCTGGGCGAGAGAGTACTTCACGAGCCACCCAAGAATGTGGACGCGCTCAAGCGAGCTCCAGATCCTGAGGCCAGAAAGCCCCTACCAGTGGATTTAAGCATCGCTTTAATACTGCAGACATCCGGTGGAGTGCCAGGAAGCAAGGATTGGCCGGGAGAGTGTGTCAAGAGCTCTAAATTCAAGAGTCTGTAGCAGGAACGGACGTGGGGCTGGAGACGTCGGGGACGACCGGCAGACCTCGTTCTACATATCAAGCGAGTAGCGATGGCCAGGCCGAATCGGCTAGAAGTGAGGCAAGGGGAACCTCCACTGGGCTGCAAGTGCATCAACAGCGCCAGTGAGAGTAAGAGGAAGATGACGACGCAGGTACCCGACTCCAGTACCCCAAGTGAGGAGGAGGAAGAGGGGGGGGACCGTACCTGCTGGGCGTGAGTACGGCGAAGACGCGATACAACGAGGACGACTCAGGAAATTTGTGTGGGAACTGATCAACGGAAGACCAGAAGCCAGGACCAGGAACCTCATCATCCCTCGCCCTAGGAAGAGTTGGCTTCGTAAAGGAATGAAGTAAGGTAGATAGTTATCCCTCCCTTTACCCCTTTGATCTAGGTGAGCTAGGATATTTAATATATCGTGAGCATTTCTTGTTACCATTTACTGTTTATGTTATAGTGTTAGGCTAGGAGCCAAGGAGCTCATGTAGGCGTAAATTGATGATGGAACATAAGTACGTAGATGCGGTGACGTTAGTGTATCTGGGAATAGTAGCTGGTTCTCAAGAAGCCAGAAACGAATTTTGAATCGTCCAGCTGATAGTGTTGCCAAAGGCGTGTCCCCGCCGTTGGGGCAGTTGGCAGACAGTTGGGGCTGCCAACTGATCGTGTTGCCAGAGGAATGAGGTGTGTGCCCGCCACCTGACATGTGGACCCAGTCAGCTGACCGTGTTGCCAGAGACGCGACGAGAGAAGGTTGCCGCCATTGCAAATATCCACCCGATTATTTCTCTATACATATACAAATTTTTCTTCAGTAAATTTTTAATCTTACCTATGTGTTTGAGTGAGACTCCATTCTCTAGGGCTATTTTGAGTGAAACCATGTACGTCCCCTTGCACTTCACATGAGATTACATCCTTAAATTAACATAACTAATGAGACCACTGACGTGTTGCTGGGACACTAGTATAAACACCCAGCTGACGACCTGAGCAGACCAGATATCTAAGAGAGCCTCCCAGTGTTAGGATGGGCAGATTCAGGTGTGTCACAGGTAGACTTGAACCTCTCCACTCGCTAGGGGTATATAAAAAGCCAGCCCTTAGTTGACTGGGGTTCCCCAGGGCAGGCAGTGGCGCCTAGTACTAAGGGGCGAAGACCCGTGGGACGACCCCAACCATGAGTAGGAAGGGAGTGAACCCTGACATTATGCGTATGAGAATGTCAATACCCACAAGACTAGAAACCCACTTTGGCCAATCATCAGCTAGATACCCACACCCACACTCAGACTGGCAAAGTGACTCAACTGCTTGTTGATTCCTTATGTACCTTGTGCTTTCAGCCTGAAGTCTCCAAAGGAATTCATTGACTTACGGCCGGGAGCACGGGCCACAGGTATAAGAGCCTTTTTGGATGTAGAGTAGCTGTTTACCGACGTTCCTGTGGATGAAACAATCGGGATGATAGTGGACAGAGTATATCATGATTCGGCATGTGATCCTTCTGACATATCACAAAATATACTAAGAAAGCTACTCCTTGCCTGCACTAAAGAGGCGCCCTTCTAGAGTCCAGATGGGCACATCTATTAGCAAGTAGTTGGGGTCGCCATGGGTTCTCCCCTAGGTGTCTTTTGCGAACTTCAACATGGGTACCATAAAGCAGAGGATCTTAGTTGACATGGACTTTAAACCTACTATATATTGCAGGTATGTTGACATTTTTATGCAGGTACCTGATGTCAGATGTCTGCAGCAGCTGAAGGAGGCATTCAAACATTCAAACAGAATTCTGTGTTATGTTTCACTTATGAGATGGAGAATGATGGGAAGCTGCCCTTTCTAGATATAACAGTCACAGAATGGAACGGAGGCTTCCACACTGCAGTCTACATTAAGGAAAAACAGGAATGTGTCTCATTGCCAATAGTGACTGCCCAGACAGGTACAAGAGGAGTGTTGTCAATGCTTACGTCAACCGGGCTCTCAGTCACAACTCAGGATGGAAGCAAGTTGATGAACTCTGTAGGGTAAGGCCAAGTCAACAATGGCTTCTCTAACAGTTCTGCTGAAGACGTCATAAAAAGAAAGATGAAACTCCATGCAACCTTAGAAGAGTCAACTAGCACAACACATGTATCCCCTATTTGACTGTTTTACAGGAACCTCTTTTCGACAGCTCATAAAATGGAGGAAAGGGTCATGAAAAATATTAAATGGAACATTATTCCTACAGACAAAAATCAGAAAATACAACTGACAATTTACTACAAAAACAAAAAAATGGCCAACCTACTCGTGAAAAACTCCCCAGACACCAAACAGAACGCCTTGAAGGACACCAACGTCGTCTATGCCTTCACATGCCCACTTGGGGACTATAAGCCCCAAATAACTAAGTATATAGGCAAGACAACAACGTCTCTAGGCGATTAACAATGCACGAACAGGGCTCCATCAAGGAACATATAATCTCTTCTCATAACCAGACCATCACCAGACCATCACCAGATAAATCTTAACAAGCAACAGAGAAATCATCGATACATACAGCGATAGCAGGAGACTTGACATCAGTGAGACACTACACATCTAAAATTCAACACCAGCTATCAACAGCCAATTAACGCATAACTATATTCTACCCACTTCAAGACCCCAAACCAACATAGCAGCAGCAAGAGGAAGTATGGGCCAATAAGCCTTCTTAGTTACTTCCATTCTAATGTTTTTATACCCACCTCACCCAAAACATTTATGTTATATCACCTCACACAAAACGAATATAAGCATGATGTATGTTGTGTCTAAACCAGTCTTTGAAAATGTAAGAAGCCCTTACGAAACGCTTTCAGGCATCACACCAAAAATAAAAATGTAAAAAATCAATTTTGTTGAGTTAATTTTTCAATTACCCTCGACAATGAAGGAAAACGTTAGAAATGTTGAGAATATTCATGTTAGAATTATTAATCTTACCCTTTCGGTCCTATTCAACACATACATATACACACACACATTATATATATATATATATATATATATATATATATATATATATATATATATATATATATATATATATATATATATATATATATATATATATATATATATATATATATATAAATAATCGCTGTTCCAGGCTTCCTGTCCTTATCAGCATCCGACGACCTTGAAGGAAATTCTACCTGCCCACTTACATCAGCTGGCAGGTGTACATGATCCCAATTTTACACGCTGTGCCACAGAGTGGGCCTCTCGTGCAAGCCCATCACCTCAACCACCATCCCCAAAAGCCCACAAGCAATCCAGCTGGGATGGCCCCATTGTAGACCAAGTTGCTGCAGAGTGCCTGGGTGCTGCAACAACACAACACAACACGACATTGCTCGCCTCACAGCAGTAGCAGCCCCACATGCAGGGGATTTCCTGTTAGCAACCCCAATGTCGGCAACTGGCACGCGTCTCACACCACACGCCCTCCGAATTGCTGTGGCCCTTCGCCTTGCTGCTCCAATCCACACCAGATTTAGGTGTATTTGCGGCGAGGTGGTGGCTGACAAGTACGGCCACCATGGCCTACTCTGCCAAAGCACAGGGGGATGGCCCTCGAGGCACAGTGACGTTAACGACATCATCAAGAGGAGCCTTACCACAGCTGGATGCCCAGCTGAAAGAGAGCCCCGTTACCTAACGCACGGTAACTATGATGCTCTTATTGGTCGCCCGGATGGTATCACAGTGAACCCCTGGAAGAATGGCAAGCAATTGGTATGGGACTACACATGCGTATCAACCCTGGCTAACGCCTACATTAATCCGCCCCAATTTTTTTATCAGCAAACATTGAGAGGAACGATTCTATTTCCTCTCGGAGATCATTTACATATCAAAAACAGTATAGGTCCAAGGACTGAACCCTGTAGGACTCCACTGGTGGCACGTCGTCAATCTGAGACCACGCGCCTCCCTGTGACTGTCTTCTGTTGCTTAGGTACTCCCTTATCCAATCGAGTACCTTCCCGTTCACTCCTGACTGCATCTCCAGCTTGTGCACTAGTCATGTGGGGTACTGTTTACTTTCTTTACTTCTGTTGCATGAAGGGGCTTTTTTGCAATCCAAGAATACGCAGCCTACTCACCCCCTCTCTTCCTTGCCTGATTTCTGTTGCCTGGTCGTAGAATTCAATTAATCCTTTGAGGCATGATTTGCCATCCCTGAACCCATGCTACTGATGTGTTTCAAAGTTCTTTCGCTCCAGATGTTCCACTAGCTTTTTTTTCGCTAATCTTTTCCATCAACTTGCATGGGATGCAAGTTAGGGACACTGGCCTGTAGTTTAGTGCTTCCTGCCTATCCCTCTTTGTATATAGGAACTACATTAGCAGTCAATTTTTGGCAGCTTCCCTGTTAAATGATTTGTTATACACTATGTAGAGTGGCCGGCACAGTGCATCTGCTCTTTTAGTATCCATGGTGAGATTCCATCTGGGCCTATAGCCTTTGTCACATTCAACTTTACCAAAAGCTACCTCACCGCCCCACTAGTATTCCAACGGTCCTCTAGAAGTGCCTGATTATCTATTCCTTCTCTTACCTCTGGGACTCATCGCTCTAATGTGAAGTACTTCTGGAATTTTTAATCGAGTTGCTCACACACTTCCTTGTCGTTAGTAGTTAATCTATCTGCCCCCATCCTCAGTTTCATTACCTGTTCCTTCACCGTTTACCTCCTGATGTGGCTGTGCAGTAATTTAGGTTGAGTTTTTGCTTTGCTTGCAATGTCATTTTCATATTGCCTTTCTGCCTCTCTTCACACCCTAACATTCATTCCTGGCACACTTTCTCTGCTCTCTAGTGTTTTTATTTCAACAGTTTCTCCATGCTCTTGCACTTTGTTAGCTTACATCTCTGATTAAACCATGGGATTCTCATCTGGACTAAATTTTTGTTCTCTTTTTGGACTGGGACGAACTTGTCTGGCCTCCTTTCACTTCTGTGTGATGTAGTCCGTCATGCCTTGAGCCGTCTTTCCTCCGAACTTTGCTTCAAGTTATATGTTAGGAATTTTCTTATCTCATCATAGTTTCCCTTTCGGAATGCCGGCCTTTTGTTTTCTGGGCACGCCCTTGTGTACAATAACCCTTCTTTGACCAAATACTCAAACATCAGTACACTCATTCTCTCAGCGGCTTCGAAACCTAGTTTCCCTTTCATTAGAGTCATTTAGAGTGAAGACTAGATCGAGTCTTGCTGGTTGATCATTTCTTCTCATTCTTGTGGGTCCCCCGACATGCTGGCCAAAAGTTTCTTGTCACTTCCAGCAGTTTAGCTCTCCATGTTTCCTCACCTCCATGCAGTTCCTTGTTTTCCCAGTCTATTCTTCCGTGATTGTCCCCCCCATGAGGAGCAGATGGGATATATTTTTACAGGCAGCAGTGGCTTCTCTTGCAATTATGGTGTTGACTGCCATGTTTGTCATACTCCGGTTTGTGGTCTTCTGTCGTTTGGTGGAGGGTTATATATCACTGCTATAACTACTCTTGGACCTCCTATCGTCATGGTACCTGCTATGTAGTTTCTGAACCCCTCACAGCCTGGAATAACCATCTCCTTGAAACTCCACTCCTTTATTATCAGTAGGGGCCACTCCACCTTCTCTCCTTCCTTCCCTCCCTCTCCTTATTACAGTGTATTCCTGGGGAAACACCACATCCGTTATAATTCCTGAGTTTTGTTTCTGTGAGCCCAATTACATCCGGGTTCCCTTGTGCCCTATCCCCTAAGCTCACTTGCCATGCTTGTAATCCCAACTATGTTCGAGTACATTACCTTGAAACTGACTTCCTTCCATCCTCATTTTCTGTTGGTTTCACTGGAATTGGGGGGCAAGGGGTGTCCGGGGGTGGGAGGGCCTAGGAATGTGGACCTGGGGGATCTGGGGTGGAAAAGGGGCTGGGGGGATACTGAATGGGGAAGCTAGGAGGGTCTGGGTTGGCCTTGGGATGGGGGAGGAGAAAGGGCATGTGAAAGGTTGGGGGAGAGGTCAGGGTTTGGGAGGAAAGGGGAGTCTGGGGTGGAGCAGCAGGGATGGAGGAAAGGGGGGGGGGGGAGATTGTAGGAGGGAGGGCTTCGGGGGTAGGGGGGGGATACTGGGGGAGGACATGGGGTGTGGGAACGGGGTGGGCCTGGAGTGGGGAATGAGTTAGGGAAGGAGGGCATGAGGGTTAACATAGGGGCTTGGGGTCGGGGAGCTGGTGGGGGGGGGGGGCTTAGTCTGGGGACCATCTCTACTAGTGGGGTGGGGGGGGGGGGGGAATGATCATGGGGTGAGTTTGTTGGAGATTTCAGTTATATTCCTCCCTGGGGATGCTGGCCTGTTGGTGAAGGGATTCGCCATTAACCTCATGTTACACCACTAAATGTTCAAATTACGGGCCAGAAGAATGGTTTACCACTCAAGTGGTTAATGCATAGAGTACTTTACAACATACCTATTAGAAGATCACCGCTTCAAGGTATAAACTATCACAATTATTAAACGTGTTTCCTTCACCTATTGTACTTATGTGGGAATATATATATGCGCTACATAATGAACAACTGCAATCCGAGAGAGGTTTTTCTAAATTTTAATCTTCCATACCTGCTGTGCCGTGGTACGAGACCAATTTCTTGGGTCTGGTTGACCATACCTGCAGTGCCGTTGTACTGATGAACCCTCGTACATACCTGAAATTACACATTATATTAAATACCCATAAATACTAAATTGAACTCATCTCTATGTAAAGTTTAAGAAATATCCCGCTAGACAATCGATCAGGTCAGACATTGGATGAACTAAAGTGCCGACTTACCACGGAATGGCAAAAGCCAACCTCAGATGACACAGCCCGTTCATAACACAACGGCCAAGTGGTCGTTAACCCGGCAGCCAAACATTAACGTGAAAAACGCTTCACATTTAACGAGTCCTCGGTCTATACTCGCTCGTGCACTGACCCACAACAGTTCATACATTTTAACACAAGAAATATTTAAAATGGTTTTTGATACGTGAACTATTATACATTATTATTTATTAGGCGAGGGAGACAGGTTGGAATACACTCATGTGCTATAATTTCCTTCAACTATCAGACCTATGTACAATATAAATATACAATAATATTTACTTATATTCGACAAAATATAGTACTTGGTTACACAGGACGTTAATGTTAATTAAGGCGTCTCTGGGGTTGGCTGCAGCGTGGACGACACTGACTCAGGATGGTTAGTTTCATTGGGGGGGGGGGTGTATTTGACGGTTGATAGGTTAAAAGTCTTTGCTCTGTATTGCAAGGATTGAAGTCTGATAGTTCACAAGAAATACTTTATAATTGTCAGAATTTAACTATATAAATTTCGTAAACAAGCGGCTGTTATGGAACCGTTAATCTCTCATCAGTCGTTTTAGAAGTTTATTTTATTTTAATAAGCTTTACCAAAAGTCTTAAGGTAGGTAAAATTCTCTACTAATAGCCAAAGGTATATTATTCAATATGATTATATTTACAAATGAGTAAACCTTGGATAAAGCTTTATTTAAAATAATTAAATTAACATCTTTGTAACTATCCTTATTTATAATCTGAGCAAATATAGACTATTCTTCTCAATAATACAATGTGATAAAATAGCTAATCATCTAGTCAGTAATCAGTAACTTGCCTGTAAGTCTGGCGCAGGTAACCTCATGCACAGGACTGTCCAGGTGACTAATTTAGTAAAACCAATGAGGCGGGCGCTGAGCAGCACCTCTCCCCACGCCGGCCCGCGCCACACTGCCCGCCGCGCCTCTTGACTAGCTTGGCCTGATGGGTCAACTACCTGTGACGTCATTCACCTCACCTGACATGAGGCCGCCTCACATGCAAATAATTCACAGGTAAAGTCACTTCAACAATATTAATAGAGTTTATTTCTATTAATGTGAAGTATGAGCAAGTGTGAGTATGTATTAAAAGCACATGCTTCACTACAGGACATTAAACCCACTACCACACCCACCTAGTAGCTTGGAAGCTCCATAACGCCTTCTGTAACTTATGTTGGGGTTTAGGCCAGGGGCCAGGTACAGCCACCGGTTACGGTGTTCAGCATCCTGTGTGTATGTATTTACTGTGTGGCTGTAGGATCTAACTCTTTGCTCTTGGACCCAGCCTTTTTAATTTTAGGTTGTCTAATTTACCGATTCAAGACCTATTTTTTCCTCAATCATATCAACTACATATACACCTCTCCCTAGGGAAGGCTCGTAGCCCCACTTTCCAAACATTCTTAGACAAGCTGCAGGAATGGTCGAACAAATGGTTGTTAGAGTTTAACCCAAGCAAATGTAATGTAACAAAGATAGGGGTAGGAAACAGGAGACCAGATACCTTGTATCATTTGGGAGACGAAATACTTCAGGAGTCAGAGAGAGAGAGAGAGAAAGAAAGACCTAGGGGTTGATATCACGCCAGACCTGTTCCCCTGAAGCTCATATCAAGAGGATAACATCAGCGGCATATGCCAGGTTGGCTAACATAAGAACGGCCTTAAAAACCTTGTGTAAGGAATCTTTCAGAACATTATATACCACATATGTCAGACCAATCCTGGAGTATGCGGCTCCAGCATGGAGTCCATATCTAGTCAAGCATAAGACTAAACTGGAAAAGGTTCAAAGGATTGCCACCAGACTAGTACCCGAGCTACGAGCTATGAGCTACGAGGAGAGACTACGGGAATTTAACCTCACTTCGTTGCAAGACAGAAGAGTTTGAAGGGACATGATCACCACATTCAAGATTCTCAAGGGAATCGACAGGGTAGATAAAGACAGGTTATTTAACACAAGGGGCACACGCACTTGGGGACACAGGTGGAAACTGAGTGCCCAAATGAGCCACAGAGATATTAGAAAGAACTTTTTTAGTGTCAGAGTGGTTGACAAATGGAATGCATTAGGAAGTGATGTAGTAGAGGCTGACTCCATACACAGTTTCAAGTGTAGATATGATAAGAGCCCAGTAGGCTCAGGAACCTGTACACCTGTTGATTGACGGTTGAGAGGCGGGACCTAAGAGCCAGAGCTCAACTCCTGCAAGCACAACTAGGCGAGTACAACTAGGCGAGTACACACCCACACAAAATTAATGAGAAGAGTTGTGACAGACGAGGATTGTAGGATCCTCCAAGAGGACTTAAACAGGCTGCAGAGATGGTCAGGGAAATGGCTACTGGAGTTTAACACCAGTAAATGTAAAGTTATGGAAATGGGATCAGGTGACAGGAGACCAAAGGGACAGTACACAATGAAGGGGAACAGCCTACCTGTAACGATTCGAGAAAGAGACCTGGGAGTGGATGTGACACCTAATCTAACTCCTGAGGCACATATAAATAGGATAACGACAGCAGCGTACTCTACACTGGCGAAAATTAGAACTTCATTCAGAAACCTAAATGAGGAGGCTTTTAGGGCGCTTTACACTGCCTACGTGAGACCCGTCTTAGAGTATGCCGCGCCATCATGGAGCCCCCACCTGAAGAAACACAAAGAAACTGGAGAAGGTTCAGAGGTTTGCGACGAGGCTTGTCCCAGAGTTACGAGGGATGGGATATGAAGAGCGGCTGAAGGAACTGAACCTTACGACACTAGAGAAAAGAAGGGAGAGAGGAGATATGATAGGGACATATAAAATACTCAGGGGAATTGACAAAGTGGAAATAGATGAAATGTTCACACGAAATAATAACAGAACGAGGGGACATGGGTGGAAACTGGAAACTCAGATGAGTCACAGATGTTAGGAAGTTTTCTTTTAGCGTGAGAGTAGTGGAAAAATGGAATGCACTTGGGGAACAGGTTGTGGAAGCAAATACTATTCATACTTTTAAAACTAGGTATGATAGGGAAATGGGACAGGAGTCATTGCTGTAAACAACCGATAGCTAGAAAGGCGAGATCCAAGAGTCAATGCTCGATCCTGCAAGCACAAATAGGTGAGTACAAATAGGTGAGTACACACACACACACACCAGTAGTAGGCCAGCGACGGTAGGAGAGACACGCGATTAGCGAGGTCCGCGGAAATTCGTCAATTTCTCGGGACATTGAAGGATTATTGAGGCTAGATCATAGTATTTGGCCTCTCACAGTGTGTAGCTAGTAGGGTGCTACATAGCATAGTCATATTGCTAGCGATAGTGCAACAAAACCAAAGTGTAGCTAGTGGAATCACCGGTGCATGCAGTGTGGAGGACCGCGTAGTGACCTGACCTGACCTGACGGCCAGGTGGGGACGGCCCGCCGTGGAACTGCTGACTGTGTTTGTTGGGTGGCGACTGTGACTCCAGAGATTTGTGTAGAAAAGAATCGACATCGTCAATCTACTAG